TGTTTTTGTTGATACAGGAGAGATCGTGCCAGCTGTTTAACTATGAAAGGAAAGGAGCAGCAGCGGGAGGGGATGACGGAGACAACTCGGGATCCAGCATCTGTTATTAGGTCACTGGGTTCCCACATACTGTTGCGGCTCAAACTCCCTCTAGTTTCCACATGAAGCTGTTGTTGGCAAAAGCATCCTAGAGATAACGGCTCTGCCTGGACCCAAACTGACCCACCTAGCTCTGCCAAATAAATCTCAAAATACATTCTTCACCACAACTTCCTGGCCTGACAGTCCACAAGCAGAATTTTTTTTTGTGGCTTCACTCATTCCATGTACCAGTGAGTTAGAAACTAGAAGAAACCATAAGTCTAACCTGGAAATAGGCTGAAAGCCCAGGCCTTAAACTGGTCCAGCTAGACACAATAGCTTTTTTACAGGTACATGGTAACATAACATCCAGTTAAAAACGCAGCAGTGATCTCTATGCTGTAAGAATGATAAGTGATATACACTACTGCTTATTTAAATAGGTACGTTATATAAACTATTTAACATTCCCTAAGGTTATTCAAAACCCACACACTTCTATCATATTATGTAACAAGTTCTAAAAGCATGATAAGTGTTTTATGAAACAGAATTAACTCATTCTTCTCCTTACTCTGCAGATAAGCAAACCTCCTTTCTCAATGGCAGGTGCCACAGCGATTTGCAGTAGGCACTGCCCTTGCTTGCTTCTGTTTTAATCCCAAATAGTCACATACAGCAAGCTACATGAGACCAGTTCAAGTAGAGGTTTTGCACATGAGCACACTGATGAGTCAAACACTGTAACAAAATGTGGATTCATTCCAGTTTGCCATAGAAGGCTTTAAGCAGGAAGTTGCTATCAATTATGGAGGTATGTAAGTTGATATGGTATCAGAGACTCATTCCTTCTGTTTAGATAACCTTTAAAACCTTGACTATCACATGCATGGACAGTGAACGCTGCTCCTGCAAGGAACCTAAGACAGACAATATTAAGTAACTGTAAATGCTGGGGAACAAAGGTTATTCGTGTCCTCCCAGGAAGATATGAGCCCAAGTTACATAGCAAGTAAGTATTTCCATTCCTGAAGCTAAAAGTTAAGTTCTGCTCTCCATTGCTGTCCCACAAACCAAAAGACAAACTAAGGAGAAATACTTCAAATTCCCAGATACATGCTTGCTTAGACTATGCATTTTGAACAGTTCATGTGGCATGATGTTCTTTCATGTTTCTTTAGCTCTTTTTAAATTCAAGTTATGTATTTTCAATTCAGAATTTTAAGCTCTTCAGCTTCTATCCTTCCTTCTGAACTAAATCACACATTTTCTTCTATATGGCTCCTAAAGCAAGAAAATGAGAGACGATCTAGACAAAATCCGTTTCCAGGGTAATGAAGCCCCCAGAATATGAAAGCATTAAAGTCACAACATCCCCAAGAGATGAACTTAAAAAAAACCAAACCACCCACCCTGCAGCACCTACAGCTTACAGCTTTTGTCAACAACTTCCTTCACATTAAATGTAATGCCTGAGCTGTCAGGGGTTTCCATGTACTGCCCTCCCTATGAGGTGGAACATGCAGCACAAGATTATGTTCGAAATTGCAGGTTTTTTTCTCCCATATCAGTGAAGCCATGCAGTCAGAACTCAGATACCACAGTTCCCACTAAGACTTGTGAACTTCTCATGTCAAAGGTTTAAAGCATCTAAAACATTTGAAAAAGTTGATGAATCACCTCACATTCCATTTTTAATCCATCATGTGCAAGTGCAGAGAACAGAAAAAAGCTACAATTAACTTGTTTGTAATTCAGCAATTCTGCTTTAAGTAACTGAAGCTGCAGAAGTATTTCACTACTTTGCCTAGTGTTTTGCAAGGTGGCTTTACTTAAGCCACACACTTCAAGCATCTCTCATTTCACAGCTGCAGTGTTTTTGCTGTCTGTGGCACAGATCATTTCCCCTTTGATTCTCCCAATATGTTTCCTCATTTTTGAAATGCATAACCTGACACAGTACACATGTTCAGCAAGTAACATTTAAGAGTATGCTTTCTGCAGTATGCACACATGGCAGACTCCTCCAGTCTCTCCAGAAACCAGCATGCTACTGTCTGGTTATGATTAATATTGCCTATGAACAATGCCACGTGTTAACAATTCTGTCCTGCTCGTGACTCAGTCCACAGCTGGAGTAAGTGTGCAAGGAGCAGATGAAGCCAGCATCTGCTGACTTGAGTCTGGTTAATGCACAGGTTATCAAGTGCCACAGGTTTGGTTCAGAGCCAGTGGCAGCACTCTGCCTTGCCACGTGGGCAAAGGGGAGGGTTAGAAAGCCATTTTCCTCACTTCCCTGCAGCAGCTGTCTGCTTGTGTGTACTTTTTAAACTTTTTTTTTTAAATAAAAAGACCCCATTCAATGCAAAGGTTGGTATGCAGTAATACTGTGCTAATCAGCAAGGTAAAAACGTCCTGCACAGGACTCATTAACCTTCTCCAGATATCCCTATGAAGGCCTCCCAACAGTTTCTGGATGAATAATCTTATTACAGGACAGAAGAAACCAGAAGTCTAATCTCTACAAAGCCTCTTATTCGTACTGGGCAATGGCTCAGCCAGAGAAGACAAGAAACTGGGGTGCAGGAAGAGATGAAGAATGCCTCCTCCTCCAGCCAGCGCTCTGGCTACTCATTGACAAGTTTACTGAATAACAAGCCGATCTCTAATAAAACACTTACTTGTTTAACACTTTCAACATGACATTTGTACTCTTCTAGTTTAAGGGAGCTAGGTAAAGCCCTGCTGTCTTTCAGTTACTACAGAACTGAACGAACACAAGGACAGTTTCTGCAGCAGCCTGCTGAGCCACAGCAAGTTTTATTTCATTGCTGAACTGACATTTCAGGACTGACACTGGATTTACAGTATTTCAAAGCGGCAGAGGATAGATTTGACTTCCACTGTCCCACATCTCCCCCATGCTGGAAGTTGCTCACACACACACAAAGCCCCAAGACAGTTAAGGTTCATAGTTGTCTCTCCACACAAGCTCCTTTGCATGGATTGAAAAACACCATGCCACAGGCAACTACAGAAAGTATTATTCAACCCACATGAAGTTAGTATCTTCAAAATAAAGAATTCTTTACTTTCTCTGCCAAAGGCTGCATTTTTTCAAATCCTAGTAAGTTAAACAAGCAAGGTCTGAAGTCCAAGCTTCTATTATATTGTATTAAACAAAAGATGGGCTCAGTATTACAGCAAGGGTGGGGGTCAGCCAGCCAGGGCACACACAGGTTTTAATTAACATGCAAGGTTTGAAAATAGCAACTCCTTTCTCTCAGTCTGTACCAGCTGAGAAGCCCTCCTGACCATCACCATTTCCGCAGGCTGCAGGAAGCAGGACTCTCCTTATGCATGCATGGAGATGGAGGTAAAAGTTCAGACACGTTCAGATCCCTGCCAAATAACTGCAATCCAGTCAGTATAAATTATAAACCATGATCACTGCCACACACCTACCAAGTTTTTTCTTGTCTCTAAGTTTGTGCTTCTGAGAGATAGCAGTATCACATTCTCATGTTGCTCAACAAAACCATGCACAGAGAAATTGGATCAGAAGGGTATGGCTGAATCCAATGGAGCAAATCGGTATTAGGTTGCTATATAGCAGTAAGGGCTCCACTGTACTACGGAAATAGTGGTTTTGGTTTTGGAATCATATCACAAGTGGACGTATATAATTTTGGAGACTGCCAGTCATAATGAGCAAGTAAAGGACCTTCACTATTTTTTTTTTTTTTTAAACACATCGGACAGCCAGGAAGTTGCACTATATTTAGTCAAATCTGGGACATAATACTTCTATGAACTCTTTGTATTTATGTTAAAGACAGGTAAGAGAGGGGAGAGGAATTAAACAGGTTTAGCCATAAACAAACTGCAATGATAGATCCAAACTGATCACTTAGCTTCTGAAAAAGCTTTATTTTAAAGTAAAGTTTAAAAAGGCTTATGTCATACTGAACAGCCACCCCTTTCTGCATGTGGTTGTGGGTTTTTTAGTTTATTTTGAATAATATGTCCTTTCCCTGTGGATGTTATACTATTGCCAAGATACAGTGGAAAAAATTAAAAATTGCAATCAAAATGAGAAGACAAATTGAATCTGAGCTCTGTGAAGATCCTGGCATGTATGTATTATTTTAGCAATTTATACCCAGGACTAGCACTTAATTTTACAACTACATTAACAACAAAATTGCACAAAGTTGTTTAATACCTTCTATGTTACAAACTAGCAGGGGGAGAACAACCAAATCAATCTTTCAGTGTTACGAAGTTTATCCTAGGAGTGTATAAGATAATTTGCCCTAGCTGACTGAAATGATTTGAACCAAAATATTCTAGTCTCCAGTTGAAGCATTAGTGAATTGATTTTATCATTACTATTTACTTCCACAGACAGATCTGTCCCCTTGTTTCCCCTCACTCTCCCTCACTGCCCCTAAAAGATAGGAGAAAATTAAAAGGAATTTAAAAATCCAAGTTCACCTGCTGTTTTGTGCTCATGGGCCAACCCACTTTTGATCAGGGTTTAAGTTTAGGCTTTTTAGTTTAATTAAGTCAGACATATCTTATTATATATTTTTATATGACTTGCAATACTTTCAATATAACCAAATTTAAGTAGCAGCGTATTTTCCAAACCCACTGCCACCAGGTTCATTTTAGACAAGACACACAAGCCAACTACCATATTAAGTATTTTTAGGCATATTGAACATAATTCTGCTTCTTGTTCCAGTATCAGTGGAATTCCCTTACAACTCGTACTGAGATATCTTCCATTATCTCAGACAAGATTCCTACAAAAGCAGTGTCCCTTGCACAAAGCGGCCAACTAAATATTTCAATTTTGTACTAGGTAACCAGCAGACTTTTTATTCCCATTTAGATGGAAAGAGCATACTTACTGCTAGGAAAAGCATGCAGTACATGGAGAACGAAGAATGGCCAGAATAAAATGATAGTCTGGAAGAGAAGAGAGCAGATATCTCATTATTTTTCTTTTGCAACACTCAGTCTACAGTGATATTAATTTATATTATACAAGTGAACTGGTAAAATGCAAACACTCCATGCTTTTTCTTCAAGGAGACTATCCAGGCACCACAGCCATTACTCATGTCCAACAACAGCTTTTGACAAACAGCACAGACTTTTCTACTTAGCAGCTATCCCACCATTAAGTTGATCTCCACATCAAGCAGTAACTACTAGCTCTTTGACTGAAGTTTGAACAGCAAGTGAACACATCCTCAAAGCTAGAAATCAAGTGTCCTTTAAAGCAGTACATTTGTTTCATTTTCTTGATAAATACCAGAATACTGTAAATATTATAAATTTTAATAATTACTTACCTGATAGTCACAGTATGTGTATGAGAACAAATGACACATTAACCACCCCAAACCAACTAGTTGCATTTAGTCACAATCAAGAGGCAGTAGTTAACAACTTGTCTCTAGATGTTTATACCACATACACATTTGTTAAATGTACCGATTCATACAGACCACGATCATCTATCATTGAAGGGCAGGAGAAAAGGCAGGAAGGCAGCTCATTAGTCAGCCAACTGCAAAAGATGACACCTCACCTAGTATTTGTAGAAATAGCTTCATATTGGGCTATCTCATTTAAAGAGTGTCAACATTGTCTTCAACTTGTGAAGCTGAAGTCTGGACTGAAGGGATTCAGCAGTTGATGGTGACAGTCCAAGGTGCCTTTGGCAAGGTCTTCCCCTGCACAGGTGGCTTCTGCAAGGACGTGAGTATGGTGAAACAAATCCCACCTACCTCTTCGTCAAGAAGGGTGGGCAAAACAGAAAGACATTTCTAATTCAGTTTTAAGTGGAGAGAAGAAAGAAACTGTACTTAAACTATTTTTTCTCTTTTATGTGCAGAGCCTTGGAACAGTGCTGCTTCATAGGCTATCAGCCAGGTCTCAGCCATGCTTCTGCACAATTCAGCTACATAACACAGCACTCCTCGCTTAAGAGTCTGGCATACACAAACAAGGCCGACTTAATAAAAAGTTTCATAGCTCTCCACACTGCCCTCCACCATATCCAGCAGGTCCCTGTTTTGGTGCCTCAGCCAGGCAGAGAGCCTGAGGCCAGGGAAATTCCTGGTTTAGGGAGACATTTCTACTCTTTGCACCAAGATTGATGTAGGCAGCTCTGATGTGCAGTAAGATAATTGGGTTAAACATTCACTACTCAAATACCACAGAGAAGGCAATAAAACATCCTGTGCACAAGTGAAACTGCAAAACTTCCTGCATTAATTTGCATGTATAACATTAAGAAACTGCATCAGAAATCAGAAAAAACAATGTAAGTTTCCTCCATAGGTTTTAGAGTTCTTGGTTTACATTTGATTCAAAGCACTGCCAATAGTTTTCAGTTTCAGAGATACTAAATAAGCCATCTTGAAAAGAGTAAGGTGACTTGTGTATGTGTGAATGTGTGTATATATATATTCACACACATCTCCACAGGTATTTTTTAACTCAGTTCTTAAATAGAAAAACTGTATTGACAATGTGTTATATTCAGACGTTTAAAATTCAAAACCATTAAGATTACATTTTAGCTAGATATCCCTTCTCCACTTTAGTACTCTAACTCTTCACTAGTTAAAGCCTCTGGGCGAGAGTCCCCTATGCAGGCCAATACAGTAAGCATTTGGAAGAGCTCTGTCTTTCGGACAAGCATGTCATCTGAGCCACGAAAGCAAAGCACGCTGTCCTACAGAACAGACGATACAGAACAAGGAATTCCTGGCTCCTATGCCAATATTTTATCCACTGACTTTGGGGCTATTCCTGTTGTCCATAAGATGTTTCCTACAATTCCTGAAGGTAACCGATGGCCAACTGAAGGAATTCAGAAGGCTAATAAGTGAGACAGGGAATAAACACAATTATTTAAGTTTATTTTTGAATTCTTATATCATTTTAAAGGTGTTGTTGACTACTGGCATTCTTGGTTTTAGGAATGTATTAGCCCAACGTAACATGCCTTGTTCCAAGTTGAAGATTACAAAATTTGAATGCGTTCTCATCAGGCACAGATAACTATGCTGTACATGATTGAAAACGTGCTTAGCACGTGAAGTATTGCCAGAAATACAACTGGGACAAGGTATTGATCCAACTTGTACACTGTGCAATCCCAGTGCAACTTCTTTGGCAATACTGCTGTCTCTAGACCTCTTTAAAAAACAGACATAAAAAAACTAAAACCCTTTCAAACACTAAGTTTAACAATGGAAAAGTTTCCCAATGATTCCACAGCACGCAAACATCTTCCCAAAGCCAGGAGAACATCCTGTCTATCAAACCAGTCAAGCGGCCGCACAGCCCAGGCTTCTTTGTGATCATGCTGCAACTGTTGGCTTGCCATTAGCCATCATTTCAAAAATAAATACATTTTTAATTAAAAATCCCAGCCAGTATTTACTAGTACCAAGAAGGCAGAAGTATTAGAATAAAATACGTTTATAAATAAAACGGTATAGACAAGCCTCAAAACCCCTACCTTTCACCAATGAAGGAAAGGCTGAATTATCCCAGTAGGAATTTGCACATAAGATTTCAGGACATCTTTTTCATATGAATATTAGAACAGTATCCAGTGAAACTGTAGTGTCATGAAATAGAGTTGGTAAGTACAAAGTCTTGTTTTGATTCTTTCCAAAATTGCAGAGTCTGACATCGAAAGAACAGCTTTGCAGAGATTCATGCCTTTTACTCCATCAATACCTACCTCACAGATCACTTCTGATGGGAGGAACAAGGCTTCATTTTAACAGGAAAAAGCACAAGCTTTAATTATTTCCACTTGCCAATATATTGCTACCAAGATACATGAATGCCTTAAGCAGTAACAAGAAACCAGTTTCAGGTCTCAGCTGAGGTCTAAAGTATACTCTCAGTTTCCAATGTATACAGTACAGCTGGACATCTCAAAAAGGTCTTAAAACAAGGTAATTTAAGGGCTGTTTACCCTTCCTAAAACTTAGCTTTGCCACAAATTTCACATGGTTTATGGTAAAGACAAAAGTAAAGATGCTATATTTCCTTAAAAAAGTTGCCGTAAGACTGATTACAAGAAGTCACTACAGTTTGTTATTGTAAGTCTGCATAATTGAACTGAACCACTCAGTCCTTTTAGCCAGGATTTCTAATCCCAGATAAGCAAGCCTAAGACAGATTGCCTTACAGGACTTGACACCAACAACCATTTCATTCTGTTCTATTCCTTTCCATGCACAAAGGCAACTTGGCCAAGGGAGCAGAGCCCACCTGATAGAAGGTACTGTTTCTTCAATTAGTAGAAAAATAGAACATAACACACAGCAAGTAAAAGGATCATTTGTCTTACACTGTCACTTGCACGAAAGACCATGTTTTAAGTAGTAAGTTCTGCTTGGCAGTATTTTGTGAAGTACATTATTTCATAAGTGAATTGCTGAACACTGGAGCTCAGCAAACAAGTTTGATGCCATCTCTCCCTATAATATGTTTGTAAGGACACCTGAATATGCAGAAACATTTAAGCAAAGTGCAGGAGCGTGACAGGGAAATCAATAGCCTTAGTGAAACACAAGGCTAGGAAATAGCTAAATACATATGGCACAGTGGAGCATTAAATGGCGAGAAATTGAAGTGTTAGAAATGACAGTAGAAAGGGATAAACCAGAAGAAAGCATATCTTGTGGTGCCACAATAAACCTAACAGAGGCTGAATGATAAAGCAATCTTCCCAATATAACTACTGAATTATGGAGTGATCCCTTAGAGAAAAATGGGAGGCCCAGCAAAACATTATGCACACTCCAACATCAAAGCAAATAAAAACACCCGCTGGATTAGCCAGGAAGTCCTTTCTATCCTCAAATTCTCTGGATTATCCAAGTCTGACTCAAAGCTTCCACTGACATTCGTGTTACCCGTTCCATTGATCTGGAGGGAGTAAGTGCCAGGCAGAGCTGCAGCTCAGCACGTCTGTGTTGAGTAAGCCAGAGAGCTCCACACACTTGTCAGGGAAATATTTCTAGAGGACGTGGTTTAAAGTGCTAGTCCTATGCTTAAGCTGAAGCACCATTTTCTTTAAAGTCAGTTTTCTCTGCATGCAGCAATCAACATGTCACAGCACCTGCTCTTTTTTCAAGTGCTAGACTTGCACAAGTACAACTTTCAAGATCAGTGCGGGTTGAAAGGTTTAAGGACTCTGAAATCAAGTGCCTCTGTGATTATTGCAAAGAAATGTTTAAGTAAACGCACCAGCAGTTCATCTGTTTTAATAATATCAGCAACTACTCAGAAACTGATTTTCAAAAGACAGTATTCCCAATTTCTCCACTTTGTTCCTTCTCTGCCAGTAGTTAAATCCACACGTAAGTACAAAGCCTTACACTTACAGAGAGGAAAAAAGCTGCCAGAGTCTTTCCAATTCAGTAATCCTCATCTGGACAATTTTATTGACAAAGGTGTTTCGACATGAGACTTAATAATTAGTGTCTTGCCCAATTCCCTAATCATATTTGGGGTGAGGGGTAGATCCACCCAGCTCTACTTTAAGTAGTGCCAGATAGTGAGAAAACTTCACCAATGCTGACACTTCATACACATGAGACTATGCCCAGTTTTTTGCCAACAGTTAATTGCACATTTTTGCTTTTACAGGCTCTTACCATATGCATATCTTACACAAATGAAAATTCCCTGCTAATGCTACTGACATAAAACTGATCTAAGCAGGTTCTAGGAAGAAATACGCAACCTTTTTTTAATTTCTAACCACCTTCCTCACCACCACCCTTTCGAAACAAGCCCTGCAGGCAATGCAAGAAACAGGGGTATAAAGTAACCTTTTCCCAAGCCCAGATCAACATGAAGTGGTTTTACTCAGTTATGTGTACTACAAGGCTTGCCTTCACTGTAAGGCTGACCAGGTTTTGAAA